ACGACTTCAGCACCACCAAAAGTCAGCGCGGATGAGGACTTTGGAGGATGGAGTAGTGCTGCACCACCAACGCCCGCTAAGCCCAATGCACCAAAACCTGCGGCGGGATTCGCTGCAAGTGAGGATTTGTTTTCGAATGTTTGGGAATAAGTCAAGTCGGCCTTCGGCCTATAGGATTGGATGGATATTAAACATTGCCTAGTACGGAGATACTGCTAGTAGAATAGCACAAAAATGTAACAAACTAGCCCCAAGTTTCGTCAGCATTAGAATATATAAACAAGGTGATCTTATCGAGCCACAGCACAGGACTCAACTGACTTCTGTCTTGATATGCGGTCGAAGGAAATCGCTCTAGCGATTGTGGAGGCCTCAACGATGTGATTTGAATTAAAGAAATATATAGAGGGCCGTGAATAAGTGGATTGTTTTGATCAGATTGATCCGAACAAAACTAGTCGAAACCACAAATCAGCCATGAAATTCTGCTTTACAACCTCACTCCTCTCTTTCTCGGAGTAGCTTCTTCATCTTCATCTTATTCTCCACTAGCACCCGAATATGGGTACCAGAGCCAGAAGAATGGGCGGGCTAGAGCAAGATTTGTCTGTTATTGGGAAGGGTGATCTGAGCATGATCAATAGGTGAAGCAGAGTAGTTCGCTCGGTGATATCGAGCGTGGTAGATATGGTGTGCCTCGTTGTTGATTCCCGTTTTGCAGTCGAGTCATTTTCGAATAAGTCGTGAATGGGTGGATTTCACCAAATCACCCCTTTCTGATGCGTTCCACAAACTCGATGTCTACGAAAGGGTCTTTTCGAGGAATCCGCGGAAACATCGCAGGGCATTCCCAGTCCACCGTAGATGTTTGTCCAGTTGACTCATGAGCATGGTTCTTGACTCGGCGGCTCTTTCGACAAGATTGATATGCGTGATTACATAGAACGCAGTCGGAAGTTCGGCGTGCCATGAGCCAGTCTCAAACTCAAGAATCCATTCGCTTTCCTAAACCTAACGCCATTGCCATGCTGCAGTATGTTGTCCTACAAAGTACATCGCGTAACTCAATATTGTGCGTCCCGTCGTATAAACTTATACAAAGAGACCCCATAAGAACCAGAGTACCAACACAATCCCTATGATTATCCCGGATAATTTGAATATTGCCACTTTATTCCCGCTAGCTGCCATGCGCCCCAATCGTCCTGCTGAGCCTTTTAAGCTGGTGCTCATCGAGGAGAATGTATCTGACTATTTTAGAAGTCAGCATCCATTCAGGTAAACCTCTAGAGCTGTACTGAGAGGTCCGTTTCCAAACCATAGAAGCAATTTAGAGGAGAGGGGCATCGCCAAAGGATCGAACCTACCGTATTATCAATAACCGCCTGATCCCTCGCATTATCATATATATCCACCGTCACCCCCCTCAACGCCGACACCTTCGCAGATAGTTCCGAGAGGCGAGTGTTGTTCTGCCTCTCGCGCTCGTAGGCGTCTGACATTGTGCTCGTTTTCTTGCGCCGCGAGTTCCGGGAAAGCGGGAGGGGTAGGTGTATTCGTGGAGAAGACGCGGAGGGGGCGAGGAGGCTAAGTCAGTCGGCTCGACTGATAGAGCGCGCGACCAGAGTGACGTTTAAGCTGTGAGAGGGAGAGGATGGGCGAGGAGGTGTTTCGGGAGGACTTTGTCTTGGGAGCCGTCGTAGGCTTCGCGCCTCTGTTTCTTGACTTGGTGGGTGTTGCGTATTGGTTTGGCTTTGACTGATCAATCGGTTTCTGCGCGCGTATTTCTATGCCTACAATGTTGTATGGCTATGACTATGGGTACGCCGAACAAGTTGAGCTGACCTCGTGAAGTACAAGGGAGAAGTTGAGGCACGGAGTTAATAAACTCCGCGTGGAGAAGTGTGGCTGAGCTGTGGGTGGCTTGGCTGTCGGATGAATGTGTCACCTCCACAGTTACATAACCTCCGAGAGCTCGTGATATTATCTATTATCTCAAAGCTTTCGCTCTTGTTTGAAGAACCCGTTGTTCGTGGGTTTGCATTCGATCTGAAGTTTGCTTTTTGAGGAGACGAGAAATCTGCGAACCCATTTGGGAAGCTACATATCCCTACTCGTACAGAGTTCCAAGACCAGCATACAGTTGCCACCTACTCGAGCGAGTACAGTAGTCCCCCACTACTCGGACAGACTCGCCACCAAGGATATACTTCTATCTTCTTTGCCTCGAGCTTTCTCGGCTTGTCAACATCATCTCCAAACATCTTCTAGCAGCTATCCAGCACTCAACGTCAAGATGGGGCTCCACAATCCTCTTCCGTCGTCTATGGCCTGTATGTATGCCAACTCTCACGCTCCGTAAAGCCTCACTGACAACTACCCCGCTGCAGCCGAATGTAGGAAGTGCGGTAAGATTCTTACATCTTTCGTAGATCCTCGACAATCCTTCTCTCCAGACAAGGTCATTCCTCCGAATATCCTCGCAAATGCAAAGGTGGGTGTCGTCTGCTCTTAGACTTTGTGCAATCCACACATGTTTTGCGCCAAGCTACAAGTAATAACCGGAACTGCAGGGCCTTGCAATTCTTACAGTGATAAAGGCGGGTTTTCTTGGATCTGCGAGATATGGGAATGGAGTCGTCGTTGCGAGGCTTTCAGATGGCACTTGGAGTGCGCCATCTGCTATAGGGACTGGAGGTGCGGGTTTCGGTGGACAAATTGGATTCGAACTTACCGACTTCGTCTTCATCTTGAACGACGCCGCGGCAGTACGGACATTCTCACAGCAAGGATCTCTGACTCTCGGAGCCAACGTGTCGATAGCAGCAGGACCAGTGGGACGTAATGGGGAGGCAGCAGGAGCTGCAAGTTTGAAGGGCGTGGCGGGCATATTCAGTTATTCGAAGACAAAGGGGTTGTTCGCCGGTGTTAGTTTGGAGGGCAGTGCTATCATTGAGAGGAGAGATGCCAATGAGAAACTTTACGGTCAACGACTTACTGCGGCGCAGCTTCTAGGAGGAGCAGTTCGCCCACCGCCTGCCGCGGATCCGCTAATGGGTATTCTTAATTCGAGAATATTCGCCGGTACTGGAGGAATGGGTGATTCGGTCTACAATCATGCGCCGGTATATGACGAGAGACACGATGATGTGGTTTGGGAGGGAAGAAGAGGTAGTGCAATGGGTGAGGGTGTGCGCAGCGATCGAACTGGATCTGGACATGCCGACGATTATATGTATAGTGACAGACCAAAGCGCGCAAACACTTGGGCAGACGATATCTACGATCGACCTTCAAACGGACCCTCACGATCAAGTACATTCAGCGCTGGACGCTCAAGAGGAATCGACGATGGATTTGGCGAGACTCCTACCAGTCCTAGATCTGGAAAGGTTGGACCAGGAAGACCGGCAGCACCGAAACCTTTGTTTCGGAGCAAGACTGGCGATCTGAAGCCTGATGAAGCTGTTGCTGTTTTCACATTCGATGCAGATCAACCTGGGGATCTGGGTTTCAAGAAAGGGGATGTTATCAGGGTGACGAAGAAGACTGACAGCACCAACGATTGGTGGTGAGTGTTGTTGTAGGCGATCAAACTTCCCAAAGTATACTAATATGATTTCAAAGGACCGGCATAATTGGCACGAGAACCGGCATTTTCCCAAGCAACTACGTCGAAATGAGGAAATAGACAGCCCTCCAATTCTAAATAACGTCTTCTTCTCCCCCGTCTACACTCTCCTTATTGGCATCTACCCCAATCGCCGCATACATAGCAACACACCGCATTCTCAAATCTCTAGTAGATCACATCACTTTCATCAAGTACAACAGCGACGAACATACGATACACGACAACCTTTTGAAATTCTTTAGTAGTGAGAGATAGGAGTAATGAGAACTGGAAGACGGTTTTGATTCAGGATCGATGTAGCATAGGGAATAGGTTTGTCTTTATGGGGAGTTCCGGAGGTTTCTTTTATGCTTCTGATCAGTGTGAATTCCCCGGGGCTTCTTTCTGAAAATAAGAGCGTTTGATATTGAGATTCAGATTATGGCGGTGTTTTGAATAAAATGAAAACAACGCTTGAATGGTTCTTTTACTTGTGAGACGCGAAGGGTGGGCTGAGTGAACGCTATAAAGCTTCTATCGCAGACCTTCAGTTCCATCACCATGAAACGCTTGTGCAAACCTTAAGAAGCAGACTCCAGGACAAATTGCACCGTGTCCACTTGAGAGAACGCTTTGACACGGCCCCATAATAGGTTTAAACATAGGATATATGAAATTCTAGGGAAAGTACAGTATGCAACACGCCAAAGACTGTCACGGACCATCCGAATCCCAAAGGAATCAGTACGAGGTAGAAGGCTTCATTCGACGAGCGGCTCCCATGGGATCTTCAAAGCCAGAACATTGGAGTGGTCGTTGTCTCCATGACAATGAACCCTTTACAGCCAATTGATCAAGTTTCCAAGCCATGACAGTCGTAGGTACACCGAATTGTCCACCACAAGATCCAGTTGTCTAGACCACAGTAATCAATCGAACGCAAGTTCTGTTTTAAGCCTATGTTTCTGGGCCTTGGTCCTATCTTTAGTTAACTCGTAAGTACGCAGATAAAATTGTTTCTTAGTGTCGTCTCAACACCATGTCATGATGATTCGAAGACAGCTTGGGAAGTGAGGCTTCATGATGGCATCCCCCCTCATCGCAGCCTTGGTCGTTTGGATGAGATTTTAGGAAATGTTCAACCTGAGATGAGAGTCGAGACCTACTCGTACGGGCAGTTGAAACCCCTCGGTCAATGCTCGGTTAATGCTCGGTTACGTATCCACTGTCATTTTCGCCACGCCCGCAAAGCGTGAAACCCTTCCAACAGTGTCTTAGCGCGAAGTTGTTACCTGGACTGGTTCCTCAAGACACAAACAACAACATACCTAGCTAGCCCAGCAAGAAGGACCGTGGCATAGAGGAAAAAACAGCAAAAAAAACACAACTCCGAATCGGGGAATCGAACCCCGCGCAACCGCGATCCTCCACCTCCTGAAGATGTGGTGAGAGGCGGATATGTTACCGATACACCAATTCGGACCAATCAACTGACTGACTAGTCGTGATTTGATGTTCGGTTATGGCTAATTAGAATCTATTGACAAGACAGCGCGGGGACTTGAGCCCCGAGAATGGTACAGTATACGTTGTCGAGTCAATTTGTACTCCGAGCTTATTGGGTGGGACTAACCGAACGAGTAGTCCAATCCATACTGTACCGTCCCTAGTTAGAGGCCCACAAACTGTCATAAAACTGCTGTCTGCCCCCATAACCCCAAACCCCAAACCAACGCGCTAGTCTAGCCATCAAATAAGGGCCAAGCAGCGGTGTAAATCTATCTCCGAGGATCGTGCTTCCTTCGTTACGGAACTACCTTCACGATTCTTTTCTCGGCCTGTTTTCCTCCTAACCTTACGCGACTGTTGGCAGAGGATCCTCGTTGCTGGTACAGCACGCAGGCACAGTGAAATCCCAAATTGAGCACGCCCTACGAAGGTGCCGTGGATCTGAGTCCTCGTCGACACGCCAATTCGGAGCTCCAGGGTGATACAAGAAGAAGAGAGTGCCAAACACGGCGTGCAGGCCACTGAGCCCTAGGGTTTCCAAGACACCGATTCGGATTTCTCGAGGCGACGCAAGAGTACAGTAACATGCAAACCGGATTCCACCCCGCCAGTTCCTGTCGTCACCGATACGCCGATTTGGATTTCTGGGGGTCATACAAGATGCGATGAAAATGTAGATCTCTTGTTAAAGGGGCCTAGATATACGAAGTATCGGAAGCTTGTTCATCTGCAAGCACCAGAACATGGGAGCTAAGCTACAATTTCATGTGTTGGCCGACAAGAAGCATCAGTGGAAACTTATTAAGAACAAACTGTAGTCTTGGGTTTGGCTTCCTGTCGGCTGCCCAACGAGTAAACCATTCTCCTACTAGGTGAGAGTGAGCTAACTCCTGATTGACTATTGAAGCAGTAAACGAACAGTCTCAAGCCTTCTAGTCACATCTACAATCAGGGGAGGGCGTTTCTCATACTCCTCTTATACATTATTAGAACCGACAAACTCGTGCTATTCAGAGTCCTTTATCATGGACTCTGGATGTGTTCTGCTGCGCAAAGGTCGCGCCCACTACGACTACTACCGACAAGAGCACTCTGGCAAAAGTCAGTCTCTATGGCCTCGCAACCGAGCTCCATCAACTCAGATTCTCAGAACCAGTCACCTTAACCTTATCCGGCTAGGAACTCTTCCTTGCTGACCCTGAATACCCCCCAATTCTCTTGAAACCTTACGAGGCTCGCACGAACGCACAAAATGCTAAGGAGTGTGCTGGATTCACGAAGGTTGTCACAGTTGGCAACGTAGACTACGAAGCATCGATAAAAGACTTCGCGAATCACGAGCAGCTAGTTCACTGTCTTTCAGAAAGATATTCGTGGCTGGATTGAGATTTGACTGCCCCAGGGTGCGTTGGAACGATTTAAGAAGTTGGAGAACGGAAAGGTGGTATGGGAGTGCGCAGTGCCCAGGGTGAAGGATACATTTGAGCGGTGGCAAGACGATGCAGCCATGGAGAGGGCTACGGGTGATGACAAGAGAGTGATTGGTGCTGGAGAGCTTTTTTCTTGAGCATGGGGTACAGAACCGAGAGCGCCTGGTTGAAGACTGGCACAAACATGATATGTTGAAACCGAATCATCTAAGCAAAGGACTTAGTGCTCCTCCTCGGCAAAGTTATCCAAAGAGATTTGTACGAATAGTAATTATCATGAGGAATTTTGTGAGAAAGGGAGTAGCTCCGCAATAAACAATAGTGAACACGAATACCTCTTGTACTTCTACTGCAATTCGCACATCTGCTCTAACCCTTTAAATCCATGGTAATGGTAAGAGTATACCTCATGGTGGAGGATCATGGGACCAAGAAGTCTCCGAGATTTGCAAGTGAGATTCAAAGATAAGATCTTGCACAACTATGCAACACAATGGTCTTCGGTATTTCGTGAAGCAGCAACGGGACGAAAACAACACATTGCTTATGAGCTTGTTGACACTCCATCTCAGGGTGTGGAAAAAACGCGTGACCTACCTACGTACGCCTACCCGTAAAGGCGTGATTTAGAACATTGAACCTTTGGATGCTCGAAAATCGAACAAATCAAGGCTTTGGAAACGACAAGAGCTAAAGATAGCTGGCTACCCGGTGTGGCGGTATGCGCTATGAGCCGCACTCGAGAGCTTTGGCCCAGAGCTAGGAACTACTATTAGTAGATGGCCATTCTTCATTATCAACAAGTAAAGAATTTTCTTGTGGCGCAATACTTGTTTGCGAGGTTGCGAGCCAGCTTGCACGGCCCCGAGTCCTCGAAAATTTCTCAGTCGAGGTTATGAATACCTTGGTACCCAAGCTCGCTAAGAGCTAGAGGTTCAGGGAACGAAGACTTGTCACTTAGGGGTTCTTGAATCCGAGACGGACTGCCTATAAAAAATCATGGAACTTCCTTTCCAAGACGTAAAACAGTCCTAGCCAATTAAGGCGGCCGTCAAGCCATCATGGCAATGAGACTGCATCTCGATTGAGAATCTAACAAGGGAAGCGATTTTAACCTCCTTAAATCCTCGTCTGGAACTGTAATACGATCTCGTCTTGCTGAGGCCCGCCGTATTGCAGCTTGGTCTGCTCTTCGGGTCTTTCGGTGGCTGATTTCTGAATTATACGATACAATTGAGCTTCCACTGTCAGCCTCATATGCACTCTTGATGCTTGTGTCACCACCTGACAACCAATCTTCCCACGGGCTCCCGCAACATCCGATGATGCTTGCTTGTAAAGCGTGCATTGCCTCGACCGTCTCACACACCGCCGATCCTGGCTAATAAAAACTGGACGAATTGGATGCTCACGGGCCACGACCTCTCAAAGGAGAGGCTCTTTAGACCAGGTCAAACTTGGTCAGCGAGAACTCTCTCTGACTTGATTTTGGAGATTGCGAGCCCGGAGACCACGAGTAAGACATCCCTTTGTGAAGCGATTTACTTGAGTACCACCTCCGTACCGGTGAGGGAAATGCTCCATATTTGCCCCGTTCCGCTCATGCGGGTAGCGTAGATCTTCTAAAACGTCCACAATTGAAGAAGTCTATTTTCAGGCAGCAGTTTCTAGAATCTGTAAATTTCGAACCAGCTGGCGCTTAGCCTTAGATGGGCCGCCCGCCAAACGGTTGTCGAAGAAATTGATATCAAAATTTCCCACGTAATATCTCCGAGACAGGCTCGCTCGGTACCACCAATTCGAAGAAAGCCACCGCAAAGCACGACACTCAACGTGCTTGTGTGACTGGAGCTGGACGGCGGCTGTTTGGTTTGATCTCCTTTGCGGCCGGGGGGTCTGGAGAGGATGACCAGCAGACGTCCACCAGGATTCAGCCATGCTGGTCTCTGTACCCCAAATTGTCTCGGTCTTCGAGCCTCCTGCACAGCATTTCGGAACATGAATCGAATGAAGAGCATAGCAGCGTCGAATGCACATATATGTATCGACCGACCGCATATCACTGCCTACTTGAGTAGGTAGCTGTACGTGCTTCGGTGCATAGCAGCAGCATGTCGGTACGGGTAACCTTACACCGACACAAATTGTAGAATGTTCACACCGCTTCGGAGAGCCCCCACGAGGTGTGCCGATGGTTGCAACGGGTGCCCTCCTCTTTGGGTATAGTTGGTGAAGAATGGTCCCTGAAATACCAATACCGAGTGGGTAATAGCCAGAGTCATCCACTCACGCACGGCAGCCAAATCACACAAAACAGCCAAACCACACGAATCCACCACATTTCCATCCTCTCACATTTCCCGGCACCGACCCCCTGGTCCCGGAGACCGAACATCCTGCTTGGATATCTGGTGGACATGATGATGTCTGACTTCAAGTGGATCCTCGACTGTGCAATGTAGCACGGACTTCCAGAGCTCCCCTGTACCTGCTGTGACGACTACAGGCCGCTGAGCGGCGTTACTCGTTATCTGAGAACGAGAAATTTCGGAAATTTCGTTGAAAAGTGCTGTCGCCTGTGGTTGTTTTCTGATTCTCCTTCTCTCTTCCTCTCTCCTGCTTCCTTTTACCCTTGCTCTCGGACTTGGAACGTTTGAACGACTTGATAGACTGTTCTGTTGTTTGATCGCAAATAGACTTCTTGCTTGCTTTGCTCTCGACGCCATTCTCGCGGATTGGAAGGATTACCAAGCGCTGGATTCCTTCCGTTCGACTCTTTTATACGTTTCTGCTTTGCCTTTGCCGGAAAATACGCCTGCGCGGAGTTCGTGGTTCTGGATTTTCTTTCGACCTGCCATTTCAACGACGCTCGAAATTTGATAGATTGCTCTGCCGATTTGCATATATATTTTGTACGTATTGTCGGACTCCTTGACGTCACGGAGAAATCTGTTCTGACCCGTTAGCAGAGTTCAGCATAGTATTTGTGGCCACACCTCCGCAGCGAAAATTCCAATTCACTCGTCGGAAGTTGTATCTTTCGTTGTTGAACTGTCCTGGAGTTGATACTCCGGTCGACCTCGACATTCGCCTCTCCACCTTCTTCCTCGTCTGTCAGAAACGTCCTACCCCACGAGACAACCCACGAGACAACTCACGAGATAACCCACATCGCCTTTCCTCCAACATTGAATTGCTCGTCAACCTTTCGCAACTCTTTTGCACATACACATTCCTTGTAGTTACAAACCTCGCTATCCTTTTCGTTATCACATATTCGACATCATGATCGGCCGAACTGCTCTTCGTGCGACCCGTGGCATTGCTCGCGCCACGGCTGGACCATCCAACGTCACTCGCGCGACTTTCACTGCTGAGACCAAACGTCGCAACATCGAGGTCATCTCTGAGAAGGAGGTTCCCTCGGTTTCGTTCGATGGCGGCGAGGCTCGTCAATCCATTCTACACGTGGGAGAGAAGACTGCGAGCGACCCAAGCCGAGTCATGCCATTGACTCGGGAGGCTTTCAACAGAATGCCCGCC